AAATAATGTTGACATTTTGGAAATTTTGTAAGAAAGGAGTTACTAGCACCAATATTTTACCGACTGATAAGAAACGACTTCGAGGTCCATCAAAACCTCCAGGAGTTTCATCACACATGGAGCAAACACGTGGATTATCAAAATCAAAGAGGACAATGGTCCACCACAACCCTTACACTGCCGACCAGAAGCATCTTCCATCTATGCTAAGCTCTAAACTAGGTGCTACCAGCTATCCAAAACCAAAAGGACACACGCCACCCATGTGTGAGGCACTAATATTAATTGTTTTCGAGGCTAAGGGTTGAAGAAAGGTGCTAACGTCCCCTTTTGATTTCGTGCTAAGTCTACATTTCTTTGCCCAGGATGGGGAGCATACGAAGTCGAGTTTGAGTTTTTCAATGCAGCATTTTGCACAAATACTGCAAACAAATTTCTGCAGTCAAACACACTGAAAACGATCAGATTTCGCTCCCGAATGAGGCTGGGAAAGCAATCTATGCATCAACTCAGTGTTGCTGCATCATTCACGTACCTTATGCTGTTCGAGAAATAACCTAATCATCGGTCCCGCACAGAATGGTATGGAAATTGGCTAACTGGTCAGATACAAACCACCTCTCTGGGTGGGATGAACTGAACATTTGTGGATAAATTTAACGCGCTTCATGAATTTCACGAACTAACAAAACAGAACGACGAATACATATCATTAAAAGGTTGTACGCTTGACTTCCTACTCCCAGTGTCACATATGTGGCACGGGTCCTAAATTACCATATCGCAAATGACCGCGTTAAGTTGTTGCACCCATAGACAAGCAAATTCAAAATCAGTGAAAGGCGGTGTAGCTTGACCATGTACTGGGGAGAGCAGCACTTTTAGTTCTCTTCAGCAAGGATTAAGTTGGTTAAAAAATCAAATCAGGACTGTAAAACGCCTAGAGTACTAGTCGTCGACACTTGGCTGAAAACATGACAGTGAATGCATTAGGAAATAATTGAAGAGATAGATCCAAATCACGCGAATCTCACATTCTTTCGACAAATAAGGGAGCGAGGAAACTTGTCGATAAATGAACCCAGGTTTATTAACAAGTTGGAGAAGTAAAAAATTTTTGACCGAGTTCGAGTATTTCCAAATTTCCTTTCCTCAAAACAGACATACCTGAGGCAAAGAGGGTTAGATATGCATCACTGCTTACTTAGATGGACGTTTACAATCTAAGCAAAATGGAGGAATAGGAAAATCAGTGACTTAACTAAACTATTTGAGAGCGTGGAAATTTAGCGCAAAAAATACCACTGCGGTATGAATGTTTAAATGATAGGACAACGTACTCTGATGGAAAAAGAAGCAATGTGATGACGGGGATCACTGCAAAGTCAGGAAAACTCACTAATAGGGTCCGCAACAACATCCTTCGCCATTGCAGAGCCTGCTACAACAGCAGTGGCAATTGTGGCTGGGACTCCAAATGGATCGACTTTCACACATCTCCCTTCGTACTTCGTGTATCAAGCTTAAAGGGTAGAAAAATGACTTTTTAGTGATGCCACTAGGGTGTGTGAAACNTTCACTGAAACAACATT